AGGAAGGACAGTTTGCATGAAGCTCTCTCGGATCTGGAGCCTGGCATGCAGCACCATCTGCATGGATGTCCTGCTAAATTCAGTGGGGCTTCACTCTCAGCCAAATGGGACTCCGGTGTAAATGTAAAGTATGAAGAGCCAGTGTGGTGTGGTGGTTAAGACCCCAGGGCTGGGACTCAGGCGATTCGGGTTCTAGTCCCCCCACTCAGCTATGGAACCAGCTGGGTGACTTTGGGCCAGTCACAGATTCTCAGCCCAACCTACCTCACAGGGTTGTTGTTGTGGTTAAGATCAAGAGCAGCAGGAGGAGAATGGTGTAAGCCGCTTTGAGTTCTTTGTAAGGAAAAAGGAAGGCTATACATCTAATAGATAAATAATGCATCCCCGGTTTGCAGGAATGCAGGCTAACATTTTGCTCAGTCACGGTGATCAGACTAAGAAGCAGAAGCTGGGCACTTGCCCAGCTTCTCAGCACCGGAACTGGCTGTGCTGTATGTGGACTCGGGGTGAGTAGAAGTCCTGTGGGTGGTTTTGACTTCATCCCCCAGAAGCTCCTGGCAGTCTGGCCAGTGGTCAGGAAAGCTGGGAGCTGGCACTGACACCCCCTGGAGAGCGGCCTCCCACTCATCTCAGCTGCTTGAGGATGTGCAGCCTCAGCTTACAAGAAGCACCTTCCTCTTTTATTCTGAGAAATGCAGCCCACAGTCAATTGCAACGGGCGAGTGCAGAAGTGAAAGCTGGTCAGTCATTCAGAACAAAGGAAGCTGACAAGCCCAGTGGTGCTTTGCCCCAGGTTCACACAAGCAGGAGTTCCGAGACTTGAGCATCACCCCACGTGCCTTGGAAAGATCTGACTGAACAGCACGTCGCAAGGGCGGGGAACATCTGTGGCTCTCCAGGTGTCTGGGACTGCCGCTGCCATTAGCTCCACCCTGCCTGAGGGATGAGGGTCAGGGATGAGGGTCAGGGATGAGGGTCAGGGATGATAGGAGTTGCAGTGCATCAACATAGGCCCACTCATCCATGGCATATATCGGGTGCAGAACCTCAAGGGGATCCAGTCTGGCCCACCTGAACTCTCCAAATGGCCTGCTCACTTCCTTTGGTCCTCACACCTCGTTGGTTTTTCCCTACCTTTCACTATTGGAAAAAGCCAACATGCCTTTGCTGAGGCTTATCTTTTGGCAGAAAGAGCTTTAGGTGAAAAGATGCTGGGGTTTGGGAGAATTTGGCCCCAGCCACCAAGGAGTGCAGCCCCCAAGAGCTTCTCCCAGTTGCAATGTGGCCCTCGAGCTGAATGGGCCCAGTACCCCTGCTGTGTTAGCTCTCCTTGAGACACCAAATGTCCCTGTTTGCCTGGGGCATTCGCTAGTTTTTGGTACTTGTTTTTGGTACTTGTCCCTGCTTTCCACCTGGTTATGGCTTTGGTGAGTGATCTTGGGGATACCTGCTAACTCTTGTCAGTGGAACCGCAAGTTCCTGATAAGTCTCTCCTGTGGGAGGCTGCTGTCTGACGGGGATGCTGCTCTTGCAGATTTGTGCAAAGAGTAAGTGGGTTGGAATTTATGACCTCAGAGATCCCTTCCAACACCAAAATTTTATGGCTATGCCCATTTTTAAGCCACCCAGACCAGCTGGCATCATCATCCTATCTTTATGGGGGGTGGGGAGGGAATCCAGTCAAGAAACAACAAAAGAGGAAGGCATTTATGTGGTACTTATGCGGTCCCAAAGAGTTGGGACCGCATAATGTTCCTAGCTTTGTCAGCCAACCTAATGTACCGCTGTGCTGTTTCATGGTGTGATTGTGCTTCGAGTATGCTGGGAGAAGAACTTACCTGTAGTTCCATTTGCAATCCTCCACACGCTTACCTGGAACTAAACTCAAACCCCATGGGACAGACTTACGATGCTAAACAAACACTGCAATTTTATACATGTCTAGTTGTCCAGTTGCATCCTGTCTGAAGGAGAAGCCTTCTTCAGACTTGCCCTCCTTCCTTGTGAATCTGTTGGACTCCCAGCTTTCTTTTACCACAGTTCTATGTTTATGTTTAGAAACATAAGGGCAAAGCAAATGCGGTAAAAACACAAATCAACTGAGAATAATAATGATGGGCCAGGGCATTTTAGCTTAAAGCTCTTACTGCCAAAGTCTTAGGAAAGGGATTTCAATCTTCTGGAGAATGCAGGGAAACTGCACACAGAAGTCAAGAAGCAACCAAATGATTGGTGGTTGGGGTAAGGGGGTGGAGCCCAGAAAAGGGGGCATGGTCTTCTAGGGAACCCCAGATAGCCAGGTTGGGTCTCCAAGAGGGCTGGATTTGGCCTCAGTGGCCTAAGGTTCCTCACCCCTACACTAACAGACATTCACCATGGCCAGCTCATTTCCAGTTCATGCTTTACCATGGAGAAAAAAATGCTTTATCTTTGCAGTTCATGCTTTACCTTTTCCGAGTTTCCAGAAAAAATGTATGTTTAGCCGCAGGAGAGTAACAGCCTAATCAAATAATTCCCACCACTCTGGAAACAGGATGTCCATTCATATGTCCAATTTAGGACTTTCCTCAAATTATGAAATTTTAGAATGTCTGAATCTGGGGTTTTCTCCCTGCAGAACCTGGCACATGCCCATTATCTGCTATGGGACTTGGAAGGGCTTTCTGAAGAGCAGGGACTGACCACCTGTACCTCCAGGTCTGCCAGCTGGAGACTGGTACGGCTGGCAATTGCAGTCCATGTATCCATACCCACAAGGAAAGGCCAAACATACAGGCAGCTCTGGTGCCCAGAAGGGTTCAACTGCAATGCCCTTCAGTCCGACCCATTTGAGGCACCAGGCTGGGAAAGGCTGCTGTCCTTCTCTGTATCTACGTGCTGGTCCTGCAGGTTTCCTCTTCAAGAGGAAAGGGCCTTCTGTAAAGAAGAATGGCCCCTTGAAGAGAAAACCGCCACACAATAATTTGTATTGCCACAGGGATGTTGCTGGGAAAAACCATCAGCTAGGACTGCAGATAAGCAGAGGTAATGCAGAAACCTGCAGAGGGTGGCAGGTGGTGTCACCATTCCTGCAAATCAAACAGTCCTACTGCTTTGGCCCTGTGAGCCCCTGTTCCACTGCAGCACTGTTACTGTAATATCCCAGCAGCATCTTGGGATGCCTGGTGATACAGAAGGATCGAACTGCTTTGCTGTCTCCAAATATTAAGGCTTTAAAGTGTGTTGACTGCTTTGGCATGGAGAACTCCTTGCTGGGGGAAGCCCTCTGGTTTTCCCTCTGGTTCAGACTCCCATTCACCAGCCCATCTGCTGTAGCTTCCCTTTGAATTCCTCGTCTCCAACAGACCTAACAAGGTGAGCTCGGAACCCCACCTGGGACTCTGTGCACCATTGAAACCCAAAGGGACTGCAGGGGAATGCTGGAGTCAAAGCCACTGCAGGGCTAGACGTCATCATCATCGTCGTCGCATGGAAAGCCTGCCTCCTGTGCATTAATTTCTAGACTGATGTACCTTAGCAAAAAATAGTTCAAACTAGGATGTGAAAGTGAAGGAAAAACATATGTAGATGAAACCATGGGGGTTATTTTTGTACCAGGTGACCAGACTCTGGCTGGTGTGGTTTCTGCTTTTGATTCCCACACAATCGGAGCCCAAAAAAGAAGCACAGAGGGGCCACACAGTGTTACGTACGTAGCTTCACAGCATTGCCAAATTAGTGATGTTCTTCAAGGGCCATTGCAAGCGGCTCACTCTTCCCTGCTCAGCCCTATCAGAAAGAAACAGCTTTTTGCTTTTCGTATTTCCCAGCGCGGTTCGTGCAGGGCCAGCGCTCAGCGGCAGTTGCAAAATGGAGAAGTTTGCTGAGCAAATCGTGAGTCAAGGAACCTTAATCAGGAAGGTCAGCTCCATGCTGCTGCTCCTTCCTTTGCTTCTGGGTCGGGCTGGCCACTTTGTAAGCAGGTGGGCACGGGAGAAGTGCCCCAACACCCAGTGGTTGAAGGGAAGAAGGCCCCCTGTCCACTGCCCAGCATTTCTAACTCCCTATTAGGGGTTTATTAGGCTTTGACACCATTGGTCGAAAAGCTGATAACAGAAACAGAGAACTATAAATACCATTAAAATAAAAAAAAAAAAACTTGAAAGTTTGAGGTGAGGAGGTAGCTACAGGTTCTGCATTCATATTGAAAACCTGAAACAAGATGTAAGAAGCAGGGTGAGAGAGACCCTTAATTCCTTGCTTTTTTTTTTTTCCCCATGACACACAATTGTCTCCCACTCTTGTCTGTTTTCAGAAAGACGGGGTGACCACTGATGCATTGCCAATAATGAAGACAGAGACTGTATAGCACAGCTCTAATTTACATTATATATGCAGATCTTATATATGACTCTCTGCATATGAGAGCAGTGACTCTCATTTAAATAGAAACAGGACACATGCAGCAGGCTGTGTGGAGGGAATGAGAACAGGAGATGACTGGGGACGCATGGCCGTTCCACCACTCCGGTGCAAGGGTTACTTTTCCTCTTCCCTCCTCATTCCATTTTCCTTGTCTGCTTATTGCAAGCCTGTAGGCACTGACTGCTTTCTTATATTGACTGCATATAAGCTGCTCTGGAGATCTGCTCTGGATGAGGGGCAGGATAAAAATATATGAAATAATTTATGAAATAAATAAATGGTGTTTTTTTTTTCCAAATAAATTGCTGGAAAAACCGTGGCCAGATAAGCAGCCTTGCTCTGAAGCAAGCTTCTTTTTGATAGCTCTTGCTAAACCAGGTTCAGACTGGCTCTCTCTTCAAGCAGAGGGTACCTTCAGATATGAAGCTGTCCGTGTGGCAGAACAGACTTAGCCAGCCTCGCGGGTGTTGTCCGACTGCTGGCGTTTGCAGCCCCTTGGATGCGAGCTCTTGCGGGGTTGAAGCCGGTGCAACAGCGTGAGCATCCGTCTCAAGTAACTGACCCTTTTTCCTGTTCATGTTTCTTTTGTCTTTTAGGCACTTCTTCTTATCCAGCAAGAAACATGGAGCAAGTACACTGACCTGAACTACAACCCGGGTGAGTGTCAATGCAGGTTGCGGAGAGAACAGCATCTTGCATGTCAGAGGAAGAGCGTGAAAGACTCTTCTCCATTCTGAGCGGGGTAGGGAAGAGCTGGGCTGGAGCAGCGCTGACTGCAAAAGCACAACCTGAAGCAATTCCTGTTTGCGGCTGAAACGTGGGGCTGTGGGTCTTGAGGGAGCAGCCACAAAATGGCTTTGGGAACTGCCTTTGGCCAGGTCAGGCTGCCAAGCCACGGTTGGCCTGCTCTGACTGGCAGTGGCTCTCAGGAGCCGCCTTCCCTCAAGGCGGAGTGAGGTCGCTGATCGCGGTGTCCTGAAAGGGCAGCAAAACCAGCGCGATGCAATTTTATTCAGGCTGTATTTTTCTTTCCAAGGAAGTGGGGCTTGGGGGATTTTTTGCCTCAGTGGCAAAAGAGCTTGACAGGCCTGGCTGGGGAGGGTGGGCACTGATTAGCCGTTCTACCCCAGGGAACACAAAGTCTTCGCCAGGGTAGGGTCAGTGCAGCACAGGGCCACAAGGCTGGTGGCCGGTTTGCAGGGAAAGCTGTATGAGGCGAGGCCGAGGGACGTGGGTCTTTTCAGCCTGGAGAAGAGGAGACTCAGAGGGGATCTGTTGGCGACATGCAGGTATGTGAGGGGGTGTCACATGGAGGTGGGTAGAGACCTGTTCTCGCCTGCAGAGGAGGGCAGGATGTGCTCAACAGAGCCAAGCGCAGGGAGCCAAGGTTCAATTTGGATGCCAGGAAGTACTGCCTGACAGTCAGGACCCCGAGGGTGTGGAAGGGGCTTCCACAAGAGGTGGTTGAAACCACGTTGGTGAGGGCGTTCAAAGATAGGCTGGACATGCACATGGTGGGCATGTCATGAGTGGAGTTGGCTAGAGCCAGAGGTCAGGCTAGATGGCCCGGGAGACCCCTTCTGACTCGCGCAGTTTCTATGTCTTTGGGCAGCTACGGTTGCGGTCCATGGTTTTGGACATGGCTCTTTCCCATCATCTGGGACAGAGCAGGAATGCTCTGTGTTCAGCCCGACTTCATCCACCAAGCTCCATTAACAATGCCCCCATCGGTGTCTCCCTCCATCTCCCAGAAAATAAATCTGAATGTGCAGGGACTTCCTTGCCTTTCACTGACAGCCCACCCCTTTGGCACAATTGCTAGGACGATCTATGACGTCCCGTCCACTGTTTTATTTTCACCCATTTCCTCCTCTCTCCCCATTCTGCATCGAGGCACCACTTCTGCATCTCAAGCCCGTCAGAGCAAATGTAGCAAGAGCGTGTCCACGGGAGACTTGGCCGTGCCGTAGCTTCGTGTCTGTCCAAACCGCGGAATGGCTGCCGCCGTGTGCAGAGGCCCCTGCGGGCTGCCGAGATCCCCGAGGACGATCGGTGGATGTGTGCCCCAGTTGCCAGTTTGCAGCATCCTCAGACGCAGCCTAGATTGTCGGGGGGCTGTCTGGAGGGAGGGCACAGGCCCCCCCTGCCCCCACATCACTCCTGACTCGCTCTCGACTGCTCCACTAACCCAGGGCTGTGGGTGGCAGGTGGTCCTGATGTCCCTGTCACTCCGGATTAGGAGATGTTTCCCCCCATCCGTGCCGTGACTGTACACTCATCCCTCCAACAAATTTCCTTTCTCCGCCGCATGTAGCACCAGGGTCTGCCTAAGGGTCTTGTTTGGATGGAGCCTTCATCTTTCTTTCTTCCAAGAAGATGGGCAGAGCCCATTTTTCCAAAGACAGGAGAAGGGATTGGCAAGGCAGAGCAGAGCGGGGTGGGGGCACAATTTATTTATTTAATGGCTGTCTCAGGCAAGTTAAATATTCCCCCCCTGCAGCACACGAAGACATTTGCGTCTTCAGTCTTAGAGTGGCACCACACTAGCGCATTAAGGAATCGGGCTGACCGACAAGGGTACTCTGTGTTCCCGTCTTCGTTCTGTGTTTCATGTCATTTCTCTTCCTTCCTCTCTATTTTATTATGGCTCCTCTGCTCCAGATGGTCAAGAGAGATCAGAAGGCTCTCAATTGGTGTCCCTCGGATTCCAGGAATATTGCCTAGCCTGCAAGCTGTGCGCCGCCTCTGAAAATGCGAGGCCCCAGCACACACCCACACGCCCTTTCCCTGAGATGCTTACACAGCTGACAGGCTCCCCCGAAGTCTTGATCCACCAGGTGGTCGACTCGTTTGCCTCCACAGCCCCTGGAAAGGCCCTGGAAATCCTGCACACCAGTTCATCTTTGAGCTCCTCTGTCTGCAGAGGAGACGTACCCTTTGAATCTTCCACCAGATGTATGATGCAGGGCCAGCTTCCCTGCTTCCCCCTGCATTTGTTTCATCTCTATTTCCTGGAGGTTTCCATGGTAGCAGAAGGATGGGGGGCTGGCACTCTTGTGGTCAAAGTGGGTGTGCTAGCAGTGTAATAGGTGTGTGTTGTGGCAGGGGAGGGGGGGATCCTTCCCTTCACAACATCACGGACCTGCTTATGGGCCATGGCCCATTGGAAGGGTGGATTGTGACCCTGCCATGATTCCTGGTCTGTGTCTTTTTCAACCATCTTCCAAGATGCCCTCATAACACTTTCAGAGACCCCCAAAATAACTCCAGTTCTATAGCTCAGGTGGAAGGTAGGCTGGCACCATGTGTAGAACTCTGGATGATCTGCAGCAGATCACCAAGGATTCCCAACTCATATCTGCTGAGCAGTAATAGCAACAGAACAATATTCCCTTCTCCATCCTCAAACTATACTGTTGAAATGAAAATAATCATGGGGTTCTCAGCCCCAGAATTTTCTGTGGAAGAACTGGGAGGTCCGTTCAGCCCTCAAAAACAATACCTGGACTCAGAATTCTTTAATTCAGACTATCTTTCGTGCCTGGCTCTGTTTGGTGGGTTTCAGGGGTCTAATAAAAATAAAAAAGCAAAGGAGATTCTGCCCACTAGAAGCCTGCCCATGTGTGCCACGGCTGGCAACCAGCACGCAATCGCAGCCCCGGCCCTTCTGACGCTGCCCTTCTGCATCCCGCCTCGCCTCCGTGCACAAATGCCTTCCTTTGGCTGGCGCTCCAAACATGTTGCTGTGCAACCGGCATGTGGCAGAAGAAGAAAAAACCCAACATCCAACTGTCCTTGAGAAGAACAAAGGCAGCCAGTGCTCTGTTGCCTTCCCCTTCCTCAAGATTCAGTCTGCATCACGCTGTCTCTCCCCTGCACTCTGTCACACATCCTATTCCCAGTGTCAGTGTTGAAATTCCTGCCCTCCATACTGGGCAACAGAGAAGTGCAGCCCTTTACCGTCTTGGCTTCAGAAAACTGTGAACACGCAGGGGCACCGTTTAAAATAAGGTGTGTGAGTGTGCACGTGTGCAGGGAGTGACTCCCCCACCCCCGGGTTTGATATGACATGTGGCGATTATCCTTCAATAGCACAGACCTCCTTCAGTTATTATGTACGAAAAGCAAGAAGTGGGCTTTTAAATGCACTTCTTCTGTTATTGGGGTTTAAAGTACAATCCAGTGTGTGTTTAGACAGAAATGAGAAATGATGGGTGTGGGTGACTAGGACATTCTGGGAATTGTAGTTCTTTTGCCTGTTTAAATGTGCTTAGGTTTGTGCCCTTACGGAGCAACCCTATGGGATAGACAGCCAAAGGATGGAGGCCCCTGAAACTGGAAACGTCAGGGATTGGGGCCCTCCATCTGTTCTAGGCCAGGCCGGGCTCTTTCAGACAGGGCTGAAGGAGTGATAGAGGTGTTTTGTTCTGTTTTATTTTTGCCTCTCCATCCTCCTTGGAAGCAATTCTTGTGAGGTGGCCTGCCGAGCCCTTCTGCCATGGTGTCACTACCGAGAGAGCTGTGCGGAGAGGCGTTTGGGTCCCGCAGTCCTGTGCGCTTTCCTCCGTGTCCATGGGGCCGCCCCAACACACCCATTTCCTCCCTTCCCAGCCAAGTAAAGGGGCACATGATGGGACTTTCCAAGAAGGTTGGGTGAGGTGGTGAGATCCTCAGCCAGATCTCCTCTGACGTTGGACCTCTCCTGAGGGACCTCTCCTGGACGTCTTCTGAGGGCCATAGCACTGTTCTTTGCGTCTTGAGAACATCAAGGCGCAGGTCTCCGGACCGTCTGTGCATCCAGTTCTCTGTTCTGTTATCTCCATCTCTTTGCTGGTCACAGCTGCAACCAAGACTAGCCCTACTGTTCAATAGAGTGAAGTGGAGGCCTCAGGAGGCAGACGCAGAAGTGGCCAAGGTGGCAGCTCCCTGGCTGTTCCCACTGCTGCAGGACTGAGCTGTGTGCCTCAGGCGGCCCAGGCTGTGCCCCAGCCAGGATTCCCCGAGTGCCTTCCAGTTGTCATGGATGAGAATTCCCATCACCCCAGCCAGCTGCCCTGATGTGACGCAGTTCCACACATCTGGAGGACATCTGGTTGGGAAGGGCTGCCTCAAGGGTGGTGAAAGGTGCTGCCCCAGCTGCAGGGCTGAAATATAACAGCACAAGGCAGGATGATCTAGAATAGAACGAGGAGCAACTGGGGCTCAGGAAGGAAGATGTCCTCAGCGGTCCACCATGAAATGGTGCCGCCTCCACAGCCCCTCCTCACCCTCCTGCTCCCCACTCCCTCCCTCTCCTCTGCAGCTGCTGCCCAGCAATGGGTTGTGTGCAATGCAAGAAGAAGAAAGCGAACAAGAGCCAGAGCAATGGTGGGGAGGGGGCAGGTAACCCACCCCCGACCTCCTGCTATGACCCTGACCCCACCCAGCAGAACCTGCACAACAGCTTCACCCGCATCCCGGACTACAACAACTTCCAGGGCACGCCGGGGCCTTCTACTCCTGCCTTCATGGGGGGCACCAACCTGTACCCCAGCTCTTCCCTGCACGTCCATGGAGTCGGGATTGCAGGTCAGTGTCCGCAGAGACGCTGCCACTGAGCGAGAGGAGGGCCTGGAGATGGGGAAGGGTCTCTGCCGCATCCTTCCCCTGTGCTTTCCCATTCTGCTGGTGTTTTGGCTTGGCATTTGTATGTTGGGCCACAACTGGCCACCTTGCCTGAGAATGATGGGATGTCGTAGTCCTGGGGGTGGGACACCTTGGGCTCCGGGCCACATCTGGCCTTCCTAGAGTTCCAGCCCTGACCACTTAGTTCCCGTAGTTTCCCCTTCCCCTTTCTGACCATACTCCTTCCCCTCTGCCCCATCCACCCCCCAGCATTTGGAGTCTCCCAGCTTTTGTGCAGCTCCCTTCCCCTTCTGTAGGGGGAAAGGCTCTGCTAAGGTTGAAACGCCCACCCTAAATCTACAATAGGCCGCCATTTTTTAGTCCACACTTTGACTGTTCCCCTCCTGAGAGCTGCTCCAAAATAGAAGTTCTCTCCTGGGGTGAAAGAGGTTCACCACCCGTGCTGAGGTCTGTCGCCTCTTCAGACCACCGAGCTGGAGAGGCTGGCTGTCCTTTCTTGGTCCAGCTGAGTGGGGATGGCCTGTCCGGAGGGCTGCATAGCCGTCCAGGCTGCGGTGATGGCAGCTGCCCCCAGGGTCAGCGGGGGCTCCGGTGTTGCCTCTGCCGGCTTCTCACTGCCTCCTTTACCGATGGCCCTGCAGGAGGAGGAGTGACGCTTTTCGTGGCCTTGTACGATTATGAAGCCCGAACGGAGGATGACCTAACATTTGTGAAGGGAGAGAAATTCCACATCATCAACAACACGTGAGCATTGGGCGGTGGCCCCAGGGGCACGTGGGCGGGGGGCCTGCACCCCCAGCGGTCCTCGAAGGCTGGCTCCTCCTCTTCACTGTGGCCGGTCCCCTGCCTCCCACGTGGCCCAGGCTGACTTGTGTTCTGACTCGCTGCCTGGCAGTCAAGCACCTGGGGGCACTGCTGGGAAAGAGGAGGAGGATCATGGCAGTGCCAGGGCAGACGTGGGGATCGGGGCCAGGGAGGGAAAATAAGCCCCGGTAGCTCATTTCCCACCCTGCACTAGCAAGTTACTCTAATTAAGCTCAGTGGGTGCTGCTGTTGGTGTCATCTGAGGCTGTCGGGTGCAGGCCGCTTGCAAAGCACCCCAGCACCCGCACATCATCTAGGGTCACCGGATGCTTTCTAATCAGTTCCAGTGAGGTTAATTAGGGTGATTTGGCAGCAGGTGCAGAGCAGAAAAATAAGCTTTGAGGGCTCCATGATCGTGCCAACCTGGTCACTGGGGGGGGGGGGCATTGAGTGGGTCTTTGCCAAGGGTTCTCCAGCACTTGGAACCAGCGCTGCATGCGGGACCGGAGCCTTGCTGAAGCAAGGCAGGCCTGGGGTTGGTCAGGGCATGGATAGGAGGCCACGTGGAAATGCCATGCATGCTGCCTCCAGCCCCATTGGTTGGAGGGGTGGGAGAAGAAAGACGGGATAGAAACCCCCAACTGGAGTGTCATGGCCAGCCAGACCTCCGTGATGCGTCTCTGCAGCAGCTGCACAGCTGGGATAACAACAGACTAAGATCAATTTCAGAAACAGCAACACAAGCCCTGATCTCACTCCTCCCCAGAAGACACCCTTGTGGGGTGGGGACTTTTGTTGCTGCAATGCTGGCAGTTGCATCGAGTGAGGAAGTCCCACTAGGAGATCAGCCCTGTTATCTCCAGGACCAAGCAATGACCGTGTGGTGGAGAAGGATGCATTTGCCTCAGTGCTCTGCCCCGTTTAGGAGACACGTCCCCACTACCTGCCCCAGTGTAGGCACTCCACTGCACTGCTTTGCAGTCGCCTCAGCGTGTGCTCACACACACACGCAAATCACACACAGCCTTTCCCTGAACCCCCATGATATCAAACTAATCCCTCTGACCCTCAAATCAAAAATCCCCTTTCACCCTCACGTTTGAACAGGGAATATTCCTTTGAGTAGTAGCCTTCTGGCTTTAGTTGTAGCCATCCCTGATTTGGCAGGCAGTAGAAAAGCAACATCCCAAAATTGGGCTCCTCTCCTTGCTGGAGATGGGAAGCTGCCTCCCACTCACAAGGAGCGGGTCTTTGGCAAAGCCAGTAGACCTCAGTTGCTCACGCAGGGCCCAGCCACCCCAAAATACCTTGCATTGCAACAAGAAACAAAATATTGCGACTGAAAAATTAACTTCCTCCTCAATGCCTGTGTGGACTGCAGCTAAGCTCTGGGGGAACCAGGAGATTCTGAGCAAGTGGCCAATGACGTCAGCACCCTGCCGACGAAAAGGTCCCAGTGCTTCTGCCCGCTGAGCTCAGACTCCAGTGCACCAGTGCTTTGGGTCACTGAACCCAGTATAGGCTCCTCTTACTGGCCAGGGCTCTCCCAAGCTTCCCACCTGGGATCTTTCCCAGACGTTGCCAGCCAGTCTTTTGCACTGCAGGTGTTGGGGAACAAACTCGGGGCCTTTTGCTGTGAAGCACCATCCAGTTACGTTCCCTCTGCTGGCGGACCTCCTAGCAGGCTCACCAAATTCCTCTCCTTTTTCTTCAGGGAGGGTGACTGGTGGGAGGCACGGTCTCTGAACACGGGTGCAACAGGCTACATCCCCAGCAATTACGTGGCTCCTGTGGACTCCATTCAGGCAGAGGAGTAAGTATGGCAGCAAAACTGGAGAGAGCAGGCCTTTGAACCATGGCTTGTCTTCAGACTCGGGATTGTTGTTCTAAGGTGGGTTTTTGTGTTCTCTGAACTCAGCCGTGATGACAAACCATGGTGAACAACCCACAGTTGACAATCTGGCAAGAAACTGTGTGCTCTCTTCATGGGTTGTTTGTGGTTAACAGGCCATGGATTCAGCCAGACAGTACCCACGTTTCAGCAGTGGCCCCAATCCTGAGCCTGAGTTGGGTTGCCCAGAGCTAGTCAGTGGCTCCACTTTCCAATGGGATGGGCTTGGGTGAGGATCTTCTCTTTCTCTCTCTCTCTCCTTTCTCTCTCTTCTCTCTAGAATATTACTTCTACATCTCCTTTCCCAGGTGGTACTTTGGGAAAATTGGCCGTAAGGATGCTGAGAGGCAGCTGCTTTGCCATGGCAATCCCCGGGGCACCTTCCTCATCCGTGAGAGTGAGACCACCAAAGGTACTTCTATGCCAGTACCCTTCATCTCTAACCACTAGGGAAGGAACTGACCAAGGCATCTCCAACATCTATCCAGCACACAAGAGGGAAATGCCTAATTGAAATATATAGCACAGCTTTCCTCTTTCCAGTGGCTTTCTAGGCAGTTGGACTACAACTCCCATCATGCCAGCCAGCATGGTGTGGGAGGTGTAGTCCAACAGATCTGGAGAGCACCAGGTTGGGGAAGGCTGGTCAAGCTCTTCCTCCAGGTCCACTGTTGTGGCAAGAGATGGTGTGGAAGCAAAAACATTCTCGGCGTTTTCTTTGTGGCTGTGTTGGAGGAATGAAAGAGAGAAGCTGCAGAAGGGAATTGGCAGTGAGCAGTGCGGTCTTGCGTGTGTTTACACAAAGGGAAGGCATGCTGTGTCCAGTGGGGCTTACTGTGCAATAAAGATCTGAGAATTGCACAGCTGGCTGGAGCGTGCTGGGAGCTGGACACCTTTTCTGTCTAAACATGCACAGGGTTGCATTCTTAGCGGGGCTGAGCTGGATTCCAGTATTCGCCAGGGCAAATAGTGCACTTTTCTTACCACTTAAGCATGCGCATGGGAACATCACTTCTCTGGAAAGCAACACCCTTGTCAGACTCTGCCTGCACACAAAAAGGCCTATAAGCTGCTCTGAGGCTTTTGCAAATGGAACGGCATAGAAATGGTCTAAATGAATGAATGAATCAATTAATTAATGTAGAAGGCTCACTTTACTTTCCACCAGTGGGACAGTTTTGCTGTGACTATTGTTCTTAAAGAAGGAATTCCTCCCAAGTGCTCTCAGAGATGGTATAGACCCTACAGGAGAGGACTGTACCATATGCTTTTACGGACAACTTGAACCAAGTGTCGTCCTTGATTTCTGATCTCATTTCTTAATCCCTCATGGCTGTGTTTAATTGTTAACATAGCCATATTGGGGGGGGGGGGGTAAAACATGGGTCTCCTAAAATCACACTTAGAAAGCCATAATTTTCAATTTGCAGTAAAAAGCAAAGTGCAAAAGTTATGTTTAAAAAAAAAGTCCCAGGAAAGAATTGAGGAGATAACGTGTTACTAATCGCCAAACGAGGGATTTTTCCTCCCTGTAAGTTTTCAGTGCCAGCGGAAGCAATGGTTTTCCCTTATTTTGTGGCATTCTGTGCTGCCCCGGAGAGATTCCTGTGCAGCAATGTTTCCTACGCACATTCCCTCTCTTCTGGCAACCGCGACCAACTCCTGGACCTTGGTGTGCCAATGGGGCCGGGGAGGCGCATGACCTCAGGAGCCCATCAGCCCCACGCCACTTTCCATAGGCACCTTCATGAGTATTGCCCATAAAGGTACCTGGCTTATAACTAAGAGAAATCCAATTTTTGATGCACTGGATGGGAGAACGAAAAGGCAAGTAAACCAAAGCAAATCCAAGGACATGACTTGAGTGCTTCCCAGTGAAGGGGATCCCAGCAGGAACCGTTCCAGTGCAGCTATTTCGTCTTCTCTCCCTGGATGGCACTTTCTCTGCAAGAGAAAGAAAGAAAGAAAGGCAGGCAGGCAGGCAGGCAGAAGTGGCAGCAGGAAAACACAACTGGAGGAGAATGTTTCTGGGTGGACACCCACCCACCAAACAGAATTTCCGAATAAGGCTCTGGGATCACACCACACCCTCCTTCTCCAGCCGAGAGAAATAGCTCATAGCTTTGACAGGACTCTGGGTGCACAGCACCACCTGCTGGCTCGCAATAGCTTTACTCCTCCATCCTTTTCTTCTGCTTCCCGGGACATGCCGCCTTCAGGTGTGTGGAGGGTGGGTATTCATTGGACCCTCCCTTTGACCTGACCCCCTGTCCTTCTGCCGTCCTTCTGCCAGGTGCCTACTCGCTGTCCATCCGCGACTGGGACGAGGTGAAGGGCGACCACGTCAAGCATTATAAGATCCGGAAATTAGACAGCGGTGGCTACTACATCACCACACGGGCTCAGTTCGACACCGTGCAGCAGCTGGTCCAGCATTACATAGGTAAGGCGTTGTGTGAGTCTGGAGCAGCAGGAGACCAGGAAGGGATTAGCAGTAAACAGGGAGGTGCTTGGATTCCAGATGTTCCTCCATCAAGTCCTCTGAGTGGCTGCAGCAGTTCATTTGATTGAACAAGTGCTGGAGGTTGAGCCTGCCTGGAAAGGATTCCCTGCCAGCCGTTCAGCCCTCACCTCAAAACGGCAAGCATCGCAGCATTGTCGTCGTTGTTGATGCATTGCTTTTAAAATAGGATTTTAATTGTGATTTTAATATTTATACACAGACTGCTTAGGGATTTCCCTTAATATAATATGGAAATTGAACAGATAAATAAAGAGAGGAGGCTGCCTGGCACACAGCCATTGGGGGGAATGGGTGTTGCCATCTGGAGAATCCTGCGAGGCCAGTGCTGGAGGTGAGGTTGGCAGATCTGGAGGTTCGATGCCCCTGCGGCCAGCCAAACTGAGCGAGGCCGGGCATGTGGGACAGGTTCCTCTCTCCTCTGGAAGCATTGCCTTAATCCCACTGCCCAGGCAGGAAAAGCCCCTTCTGTGACCGTTCCCGGGACATCCTTGTCTCGGACAGAGCCGGAGGTACCCCTGGCATTGGCTCGTCTAGAGCGCCTTTACAGGCATTGCTGCCTTGCACATAGAATGCCTGGATGCTCCTCGAAGCCTGGCAAACGCTCCGCTGCCGGGCTGCAAGGTGCAGAGCAGATCAGCCCGCCCCGAGCAGGCAGGGAGCTGGATGTATGTCCCGCTGGCCAGTGGGGGGAGCTGGGCAGCTGCTGTTTCTGCTTTTCCATCGCTCAGAAAAGACCCAGGCAATTGTTCTGCGCAAACCAGGCCTAGAAACCTTGGCGCAAACAAGGAAGAGCCTCTGCAAATATTCCTTCACCTGAGTGAACTTGGGTTGCTTCTGCTGGCAGGCTGACCTTGGGAGTGGCTATGGAAACATGTACCCCCGGCCCCATCCGATAAGCTGATCTCTCTTAAAGTTGCACAGCCAAGCAGTTACTCAGAAGATTTTGTAAGCCCAGGGCAAGATGGCCTCACCATCCGTTTTTTTCCTAGGAGAATCGATCGCACGGATTGCCCTTGTCTGGGTGAAGTTAACAGTCCAGAACAACATTTGCTATTTATTTATATCTTACCCTTCCTCAAAGAAAGGGTGGGGAATAAGTTCCTATCTAGGTGTCTTTTGGAACACAGCTCCCAGCATCCCTGGCCATGCCAGCGAGGGCTTCTGGGAGCTGGAGTGCAGCATTTGGAGGGCCACATATTCCCAAGCCCCACTGTAAGGCACCCGGGGCAGCACACCTGGTAGTTCCTCCCTCCCTTTATGCTAACAACAACCATGTGAAGTTGGCCAGGCTGAGGGACTAAGTGACCCACGGCCTGCTGGGATTAGAACCTGTCCTCCTCATCCTTACCAGCACTTCCACCCACATCCCCACACTTTCTCCCCACTAGAAATGCATATCTCTAAGCTCGCTTTCCCCAACCCAGCAACACCTCATGCTGGCTGGGACAGATAGGCATTGTAGTGAAACTCATCTGTAGGTGACCATGTTGCTGCAGGATGTGCTAGACTCCTGGGCATTTGAAAGGCCCGCCTGTCTCTTGCCCCCGGAGCACAGGCCAATATCCAGCTTGCTGGAAATGAGGGACGGGCTGCAGTCTTGTGAACCCCCTTTTCGCCTGTTTCTCTCCTGTTTACTTTCCACTGGGAGAAGAAAGAGAAAATAAGGCAGGGGCAGCTGGATGCACAAAGTCACATGCAAACTAGCAAAAGCGGTTAAGCATCAGGATGTGCATCCCCTAGGAAACGGAGGCGCAGTCTGCAGCTGGATGTTTATCCTGTTGATCGCAGCATCTGCTGTCAGATTTGCATCTCGTTTATGCTCACCATTCCCCAAAGCAATGATATTTTGGAGGCTCCACAGAGTTTCTGTGGGGTAGAAAAACAGGCATTTGGGCAGCAGCAAAGGACGTCGCACCGCGCATTTCTAATGCTACCTTCTGCCCGGATTGATGCCGGTTCAGCTTAGGAGACAAGACCTCCAGATCTAGGAGGGAAGGTGCCAAGGTCCAGCAGGCCCATAATGCTCCTGGCCATTGGCTGCAGCAGCCACTGTGGATGGGAGGGTACCTGTTGCAGGGACTGCTCTGGTCTTTTCTGTGTGGCAAAGAAATTTACCCTACTGACCTTCTATATCTATAGGAACCTTTTGGAGAGATCTAACAACTGCAATGATTTTGCCAATTCTCCATTATGTGATGATGATAGCGTCTTGCTATAACCACTATCCCCTGCAGCCTCCCCTGATGCCAAGAAAGCAGGCGTCTCATAAGGCAACTGCCAGGCCAAAGCACCCTCAGGGCAGAAGGGCCCCTTTGAAGAAACGAGGCTCCCGTGTGCCACCCCCTGGCGGTGTTGAACCGCATCTCCCCCCCCGCCCCCAAGACCTCCAGCGTCTGGACCTGCTTTCTCATCGATCTTTCTCTTTCTCCCGATGCCTCTCTTCCCCGCTCGCGTTTCCTTCGGCAAGAGAGAGCTGCAGGGCTGTGCTGCCGCCTGGCCGTGCCGTGCCACAAGGGGATGCCCAAGCTGGCAGACCTGTCCGTCAAAACCAAAGACGTTTGGGAGATCCCGCGAGAATCGCTGCAGCTCATCAAGAAACTGGGCAATGGGCAGTTTGGGGAAGTGTGGATGGGTAGGCCTGGTGTGAAGAAATTGGAAGGCTGAGCGGAAACGGGAGGAGGAAGAGGAAGAGCACAGCAAGCCTAGAGCCAGCTGTGGGGGGGGGTGCGTGAAGAGTAGAACCAGTACCAGTGCCAGAGTTAGTGAGTTATGAGGACCAGGATGGCCCACAGTCTTTCCATGCACATGGGTGCATTTGCTTTTAATCCACTCCTTAAGCCTTCTTCATCTCAGCAAAGGAATTTAGGGCAGAGGAGGGTCAGCGCCTTACTGCAGTCAGAGAACCATGAGAATCCTCAGTCCCTGCAGATCACCTGAAGATCAACCAGTGGGAATCACCCGCCTACTGCAGATTCCCGGCCAGTGTACCAGTGGATCCAGACCTACGTCCTGCCCGTGGCTGCCACACAGCATTGGCCGGTCCTGGGTACCGAACATTGCACTGGCATGGGGTGCTATTTCAGGCCACCAATCCAGCACCTTTGCTCTGGACAAGCTGTAGTTCCCGGGTGGTGGTTCCAAGGCAGGTCTGGTTAATTTCAGAGCTCTTACCCTGGAGTTTACCCTGGCCTGGATAACAGTCTCAAGGCTTAGCTTTTAAACGGATGCCTTCCCTGAGAGCCAGGCGTTTGAGAAATCAGGGCACGGACTGCTGCTCTCGCTGCACGCCGTGGGCACCACCTGGTGGTCAGAGATTGTGACAAGATAACGTGGGCTTGTGCTGTGCTCCTCCTGGCCCTCCTCCCGGCTCCAGCCGCCCCCCGCAGTGCATGCCATCTCCATCACTCCATCTGCCATCTCATTCTCTCTCCCTCGTTCATCTCATCCCACTTCCCCCATTCCACTCCTTACAGGGTACAATGACGGGCTCTGCCACCTACTAACCAAGGTCTGCCCCAATCTGAAGCCCCAGACTATGGGACTGGCCAAGGACGCGTGGGAAATCATGCGCGAGTCTATCCACTTTGACATGAAGCTGGGCATGGGATGTTTCGGAGATGTATGGATGGGTAAGGCAGGAGGATGCTCCATCCTGTTACTGGGCCCAGACCGGGGGGGGGGGGGGGGTTCAAAGAGAAGGATCTGGCAAATCCCACAGGGCAGGAGCATGGGACCTCTGCCAGGTGGTGGGAGGAACTCAATTTCGGGGGAGCTCTAGGGGCCAAGGGCAAAAGGGGCGGTGCATATAGGCCAGCCTATTGTAATTGAAAGCCCTTGCTGGTCCTGACCCAGCTTTAGGAGGGGCATGGTTGGGCACCTGCCAAGGGCCCATGCCCACACAGGGGCCCCCCAGAAAGAATCCTCTGGGCTTGCTTCACCATTGTGATCTGCCGCTCTGGCCTCTCCTCTGGCTTGGACGGCAGGGGGACAAGAAGGAGCCAAGGGCACCACCGACACCCTGCTCCCCGCCTCTCTGCTTGCCAAGCGAGCCAGCGGCTGCACGGATGAGCAGGGGGCTGAGGAGCAGTAGCAACTGGTCACCAAGGGGGCACTCTTGCCCGCGGGCTCTTCAGACCATGGCGTGGAAGGCACCGATCCGCACGGGGCTCTTCGCCCGGGAGGCACTCCTGTCCCAATCATTTCATTTCGGCTTGAGGCAGCACCGCCCTAAGCCAGCCATGGCTTTTCCCATCATCTCCATTTCCACTGGGGGCGGCAGGTGGGGGCGGGCGCTGGGCAGTGCTGCGGGCTTTCTTCTGCTGCCCCTCCTCATGGCGACGCTGTCCTTGCTCCAGGCACTTGGAACGGCACCACTAAAGTGGCGGTGAAGACGCTGAAGCCCGGCACCATGTCCCCTGAAGCCTTCCTGGAGGAGGCCCAGATCATGAAGCGCCTGCGGCACGACAAGCTGGTGCAGCTGTACGCAGTGGTGTCGGAGGAGCCCATCTACATCGTCACAGAGTTCATGAGTCAAGGTGCGGCTGCGCTCGCGTCCGACTCGTGGCTCCGGCAGGGCAGCACCACCTCGGGGAGGGCGGGTGGCTGGCTAGCAGGCTGGAAGGGTGGTCAAGGAAGTGCTGGGGTTGGGTGGTAGAAGCTGGAACGAAAGGCCCCTTCCCCATAGTCCTACAGCCCAGGGCGGTGTCATGCAGCTGGAGGGTGGGAGATGCAGGACAGGTGCAAGGAAGGGCTTCGTGCAGAAGCAGATGCGAAACACACCCTTCTGAAGCCAGTTTGGATGGCTTTAGGTGGAGATGGACCAATTCATGGAGCAGAAGGCGATCAGTAGTGTCTCCAGTACATCTTCATCAGTGTGCATGACTTGATGGACGACCTGGTGCTTTTGCACTCAGGTGCTACCTGTGGGGTTCCTTTGGGCCACTGGGTTGGCCACTCGGTGAACAGAATGCTGGACTAGCTTTGGTCCTTGGTCCAGGTCTTCGGTCTGATCCAGGACAGTTCTTCTATTTAACCCTGTGCCCCAGTGAGAGATCCCAGATGTAGGTTGCAGGTAGCCACATCACAAAAGGCTCAAATAAGCCACTTGCTTCAACAAAATTGCTTCAACAAAAGCTGGCCTATATCCCTTTCTGCCTCCAAGGAGGCTTTCTGGTCAAATAGTCTAACAGAGTATATGTAATTTATAGTCTAGTCTAATCTGAAATTCCAGGTTGCTACTTTCAAGAACATATCTCTTCTGTCAGGCCTTTCCAGATTAGTTTTGGTTTTGCTTTAGTCTAAATTTGAATTATTGTTGATTTCAATTTCTTGTAAACTGCCCAGAGTCCATGGGACTGAGACAGTATAGAAAAATATACAAACATACATACAGTGATGGACTTGCCCAGTTGTTCAGACTATTAGTCCATCACTGGGCAGGTCCATCACTTAACCAAGGACAATTTGCTACAAGAAACTGGGAGCTTAAAAGCCAATGGGGCAGAGAATTTGGGGTAACCAGCCACAGGCAGGGGCTGGACATGGGATGCTGGGAAGGGGTGCTTGGAAGCAGCTGATCTCCTCAGTCTTCTTTCCCCAGGGAGTTTGCTGGACTTTCTGAAAGATGGAGATGGTCGTTTCCTGAAGTTGCCACAGCTGGTGGACATGTCGGCCCAGGTAACCTGAGATGGAAGGGACTGCACACGTAATTTTTCATCCCCTCTCTAGAATTGCAGGTTAAATGCCTCCCCAATTAAATTTTGCCCCAACAAGTTAATCAGCTCAAACTCTCCTTCAGCATCTAACTGTGCAGCCCTGTGTGCTGATACTCAGCAGCATGTGGGATACAGGATAAGTCCCGTGCAAGAGTGTACAGGATGGCATCTTAGTGGGCATTCCTGTGCATGATTAAACAGAAGACATGGGTGGGGAATGCTGGGAGTCGCGGGAGTTCTTTTGATATATGCAATTAGAAATTTTAGGCTCTGTCTTCAGCTTCCACTGGGTAATAATAAAAAATACAAAATATTGTCGTGTAAATTGCATTGGACACTTTTGTGTACATTACTGAAGTGCTTGTGTGTTGGGGAGAGGAATCTGATTCCATCAATGAGTGGACGATGGAATAAAGATGCCTGAAAATCAGTGACACACACAGAGCAAGTCTGCTTTAAAAATGGGAAGTCCATCCAAAATGTGGGTCTGGGGGAATTGATGGGAGAGCCAAGGTTTGATTGGCTTGTTTGCAGAATCATGGCACAGATCAAAAAGCTGCTGTGAGCACTGTTTGTTGTTTTAGCTGCCTTTTCCCTTGGTACAGAATTACCTTTTATGAGTACATGATAAAGAATATGCTGTGGATACTGTATTGTTGCTGTTGCTGGTCGTGAAGTCGCGTCTGACCCATCGTGTCCCCATGGACAACATTCCTCCAGGCTTTCCTATAAGCCCTCAAATACAATGTGCCACAAGATAGATATAGGAATGCCTCACTCATTTAAGTTGCAATCCTATGAATCTCTACCTGAGAGTAAACCCCACTGAAAAAGAAGTAATTTTTATTTTATGATACCAGGGCTGTAAAAAAATGCTATAAAAAGCCTAATATAATAGATGAGGACATCCACTATAGCAATAAAGGGTGGGGGAAACAGAAAAGACAGAGCTTACATCAGGCCTTTGGATGAATGAATGAAATTTTGATGTAAAATAAACGTACATTCCTTTCTTTCTGTCCCCCATGCTCCCATCCCAAGCAAACAGACGAGAGTCTTTGATGCAAGCAGCCCCTGTTGGCTGATGGGACTTTGGAGTGGACTTGCTGGGGAGTACGAGATGAGGAGGAGGAGCCCTCATACCACCCTTCCCTCACGTGGCCCCTTCCAGATATGCTGTACTACAACTCCCATCATCTGCTGCGGATGAAGGGAACTGAGTCCAACACATCTGCAAGGCACCAGGTTGGGGAAGGCTCCTCTGCGCAGCCCGGCACAGCGGAAATAAAATGTGTGTCACCGGGTCACGCTTGCCTTCTCGCTGCTCCGCACCATTCAGATTGCGGCGGGCATGGCTTACATCGAGCGCATGAACTACATCCACCGGGACCTGCGGGCCGCCAACATCCTTGTGGGGGACAACCTGGTCTGCAAGATCGCCGACTTTGGCCTGGCTCGCCTCATTGAGGACAACGAATACACAGCACGGCAAGGTGAGCTCCCACGCGTTGCCTCTAATGCATGTGTATCAGGGTTTGGGTGAAGCATCCGCAACTGTTTTGGACCCGCGGGCTATTTGGGGATGCAAGAACTTGCTGTGGACGGCCCCACAAAATGCTTGATTAGAGGATTGCTGCTTTGGTGGATACTGTAGCATCTCTACATCTTAGGTTGCCTTATTCAGCAAAAAAAAAACAGTTTAATTTTACTTATTTATTTTTCTGAAGTATGTCTAGACTGTTCGAATCAGCATAGTGTGCTCAGAACGGTTTACGGTGTCTGTTGGACACTGCAACATCTCTTTAATAAGGGATTGTCTAATTTCACTAATTTCCGGCGGTGCAATACAGTGAATGCCATTTTTAAACTTAAGGTTTGGCAATAGCCAGCATTTGGTTCTTTTTGGAAGGAGGTTATTACCCAAATAAATTTTGTACTGGAACAGCCTTTAATGTTCCTTGATGTACATGTGCTTTTAATTCAATTGCTTGGTTCATAGAAATTAACCAATGTAAAGGCAATTAATTTTCCACACCCTTTTGACAGCTCAAAGGGTATTCTGATATTCTGACGCTAGAGAGATAAGTACTCACCTCCTATAATACAATGGACTGAGGATCTTACCAAGCTTTTGATATATGAATGGGTGAAATTAAGATGTCACCAACTTCACATGGAAACTTATTTGGATATTTGAGTCATGTTGGTTGAAGCCTGTATATAGTTGTTAGAAGGTTGCATACATATATGTATATTAAGGGGAAAGAGTGGGGAATGGATACCTGCAGGTGCCACCCAGGAGACCCCTGGTCTAGCCAACATTGTCCGTTCTGACTGGAAGAGCAGCCCATGGTCCCAGGCATAAAGAGGTATCTTCCATCCCTTACCTACCGGCTCCATTTTAGCAGGATATGCCAGGGACTGAAACTGGAACCTTCTGCATGCGGAGCAGATGCTGCACCACTGAGCTGTGGACCCGTCCTCCCAAGACACAGGTGTTAAACGTTAGGCCCATGGGTTAAGTCCCAGTCTAGCCCTCTGAGGATCTCAGATGGTCACAGTCCTGCATTATACGAGTCACACCAGAAAAACCGTCAGGTAGCATAGTGAGCTTTTCCAGTGTCCAAAAGCCCGGATAGTTTCTTGAAGGCATGCCAAGGTCTTACGGCCTTCAGCTTGTTAGAAGAGCACCAGAGATCAGTGCCTTGAAGCTGCCTTCCCCAATCTTGCTGTAGACAAGGGCTGTTTTTGCTGTGAGAACAAAACTGTTCTCTTTATCGAAGCAGCTTCTGCCCTCTCTAGAGCATCCCAGGAAGTGGGGTCAGAGCCTGTGTGCACTGAACTTTATAAAATCCATGGCAAGAGGCCTTGCCGGTTGTTCTCTGCCCAGGGAGAGGAATTGGCTCATTGCTCTCCCAGGCAACTCTGGAGTCCCATGGGGCATCCCTGGCCTATTCAGAGAACCAGTTTGGCCACAGAAAGGGGGAGTGCAAGCTTTATTTTGCTTGTCTATTTTCTGCATCCCTCTTCCTACATTATATTCAAAAGACTGTGCCTCATCTTTGATACAGGAGGTTTCATTTCTTCCCAAGAATCTTCAATTATAAAGTGAGCTGACTTAGCTGGACCAGAGTCCTGGAGCAGAAACACTCTCTCCTTTTCCCCAAGCCACCAGGTTTTTGTGTGTCCCCCACCCACTAAAAGGGGGAATGCCTCTCCTAAGGCAAAACAGTCTACATTTCCCAGCATGCCTGGCCAGCATAGCTAGACATTGTAGGGCTTTTCCCCCTGTCTAAACACACACAGGATTATATGCTTCAGTTCAACATATTGTCATATTTGTTATTTTGGCTCCACACCATTTTCCTTAAGCCCTATCACCTTTTGTCTCCCTCTCCTGACTGCAAATCCGACCCCTGTGAACCTCTCCAAAATTTGGTTTGACCCCCAGGCTGAAAGGCCTGTTGTGGATCATGTTTGCTGTAGTCCGACAAATCTGGAGCCACAGTGAATTTCCAAGCCTAGAGCACAACTGCATCATAAATTAGAACTTCTTTGTCTCGCTTTCCTTCCCTTTTCTTGCCTCAAACAGGGCTTGTTTCCCATGAATGTACTTGCATGGCGTGTGCAGAGGGAAAAGGCCATTTATAATTCCCCTGTGATCTCATCCGTCCTGTGGGGATGAAAGCTCCGGACTTGTTTATCCTGCTGGCAAGCAGGCAGGCTGGCCAGCAGATCAATGAGTCCGCAAATGACTTCCAGGTTGCAGGCTTGCCTCCTTCCCTCCAATGTCAACATCTTATTCCGTTCTGCTTCCTGGCAGGTGCCAAATTCCCGATCAAGTGGACAGCCCCTGAAGCCGCTCTTTATGGCAAGTTCACCATCAAGTCAGATGTGTGGTCCTTTGGCATCCTGCTGACAGAGCTTGTGACCAAGGGTCGAGTACCCTACCCAGGTGAAACCTCTCCCTGTGACTCTTCTCCTCCTGTAAGATGCGCTGGCGGAGGGTCGGGAGGGGTAGCTGTTGTAGTTTGGTGAACTGCCTTCTGGAACTGCAGTTCCCAGAGTTCCTTGGGGCAATCAAGCTGGCCTTTGGCCTGTTCAGCCATTTCATGTTTGTGGTGTGAACACCTTCTCATCCAGAGCATCCCTGAAGTCACTTCCTAAGCACTGCTATGCATTCCCTCCCCAGGACAGAGACACTCTCTCTGCAGAATGGCCTGCATTTTGTATCATTCCTGTTGATTAGCACATTTCTTCGTGCCTGCCAGATGCCCTACCCCGAACCTCTGCTCTCTTGTGGGGTGGCTTGTTAACTGCGCCCTTGGATGGCATGGGAAAGTATGGCAGGGGCATGGGGTTGTCCCAGTCCTGTGACTGCTTTGGACCTACGGGCCTCCTGTTCTGCTGCCTGTAATGCAGGGATGGGTTTCTTCAGCCCAGGGGGCCAAACCCAGCCATTTGTGATTCCCCTGATGGCGATGCCTCTTCCCCCCGGCCCCAGCCCCTTTTTCCAGGCCCCCGATCCTTTGGTGGTCTCCCAGCTTTTGTACAACCCTCCCCTCGTTCTGAAAGGTTGAAACACCTCCCCTGGGGCTGAGCTACTGGCAAGAGGAGTGCCAAGCCACAATATGCCAGCATTTGGCCCCTCCCCGATTGTCCTCTGCCCCACCCCTTTTGCCTTAGGCCCCACCCACCAGCAGCATGATGCCCTCTAGAGCATCCTGGAGATTGCATCCAGCCCATTGGCTGAGAAGGTCCCAGCCAGAACAGTTCCCAGAGGGATTTCCTGAGGCACCTGCCTTGCACAGAGTCGGCGGGTGGCTCTGACTGCGGCCCTGCCCTGGGCCTCCCTTCGTTGCAGGCATGAACAACCGGGAGGTGTTGGAGCAAGTGGAACGGGGGTATCGCATGCAGTGCCCTGGAAACTGCCCCCCCTCGTTGCACGACCTGATGCTGCAGTGCTGGAAGAAGGAGCCCGAGGAGCGCCCCACCTTCGAATACCTCCAGTCCTTTCTTGAAGACTACTTCACTGCCACAGAGCCTCAGTATCAGCCGGGGGACAACCAGTAACTTGCCAGGAGGGCTGGCTCGGAACCGAGACCGTGGATGGGCCACTCACGGGGGCCTCCGTGGAGGGGGGCGCTCTGGGGCGCGGCCGTCGGGAGACGCAACCCTTCCCCTCGCCAGGGGCTGAAGATCCCGTTTTTGTAGAACTGGAGTCGGACTCCTCTCTCTCTCTCTCTCTCTCTCTCTCTCTCTCTCTCTCTCTCTCTCTCTCTCTCTCTCTCTTTCTCTGTTCTCTACTTTCTTCTTCTTTTTTATATAATTCCAAGTTGTGGCAGAAGGGGATGGTTTTGTTTTTTAAGAATTGTGATTTTGTGTTTTAAGTCCTGCCCATTTCCTGGGGGACTTCCATTTTTGGAGTTATAGAGGACAATGAGCCAGGCTCAAGGTGCGGGGCGGGGGGAGGCCGGGGGGGGGGGAAGAGGAGAGAACGTGGGTTTTGTATTTTGTCTTCTCTTAACAACGTTACCTCTGTTTCCCTCTCCTTTCCTTCCTATGCCAGGTAGGGAACTTGTGGCTCTCCAGATCTGGCTGGACTGCAATACCCATCATCCCTGGCCACAGGTCCTGCTTAAAGGGGCTGATGAGAGATAGAGTCCAATGAAAGACTGCAGGTTCCCTGACCCAGCCCTACATAACTCTGGAAGGGGTGATTACTGGGTAGTGAATACCTATTTTCTCCTTTCCTATCGACCCTGATGTTCCCAGCTGAGCCCCCCAACCCTGAGCCCCCCAACCACTTATTCTGAGCCCCCCCCCAGCTTCCACTACTGAGCCATCTCCCCGGTCTTGTATATGGAGCCTCTCATGGGGACAAAATCTGTGTGTTCAGACGGCGTGGAGTTCGGCTATGGAGAACCCAGCGCAAGTGACTTCCTGATGCAGCTTTCCGAGCCAGGTGCCCTCCTGGTGCTTTGGCCTCTCACTCCCATTATCCTTAGCCCAAATCGCCAATGGGGGTGATGGGGATTGTAGTCCAACATGTTGGGATTGCACCAACTTGAGGGAGGCTGCTTTACTGAACTGCGAGCCGCCTTCAGCACTCTTTGGGGGCGCCATTGCCGCTCAGAGCCATCCCATAAAATACCCCACTAAGCCCATGTGATCCGAAGACAGATGGGTTTTGTGTTTCCTGCTGAGACAACCCACGCCAGGCAAAATAGGTGGCAAGAAACCCTTTCTGGACTATTTAGGGCAGAGGTACAGAGGCGTTCTGGCCACGTGTGATACAGACTTGAGCGCTGCAAGCCACACACCCATGTCCACCTGCTCACATTCACACATGTATGTACATGTGCAGACTTCACACCAGTGACCTTGATAGAGCTTGTGCTTTCCAAGCTGCTCAGAACCATGGCAAAAGAGCCATTAAAGGCTCCCGCGGGGAGGGGGGGCAGTGGAACCAGCAAGGGCACTCTGGCAGTGGGGGGGCACCAATCACCCTTGAGGTGCAGATTGAGCTCCCCTGATTTGGAGATGCTCACTGCCACCACTCCCATGATTATGACCAACCGTAACCTGAGCACGTGGAAATCCAGCATTATGGCTCGTTCCAACGAAGAAAGATTCGGCAAGGAGGCTAGGCGTGGGTAAGGACAAGATGAAATCTTGGTTTTTAGGTGAACGTATTTATTCAAGAACAGACAAGGAAGTTTGGAACTGTCCAGTTGTTTTTTAAATAAAATGAAACCTAGAATTATCTAGCCAAGACTTTATGATCAGGGACCAAAAATTGTAAGAATAACTCATGGAAGCAGTTTATGGGGCAGGCAGCAGAAAACCTAGGGCTCCACGACATGGTTTAGGCCGGACTCTTTGGTAGCCACTTGAAAATGAAGCAAGATTCCACAAGCAGATATTTCTACGGCTGCAACTCTCTTCTTTCCCTCACCCCTCCCCTTTCTTGACCCATACTATTAAAGCTGTGATGCACTGGCTGTGTGATGGACCTGTTGCCAAATCCCATCTAAATTGGGGAGGAGAAGAGGAAGGGTGAGCCCGTGCTGCGTTGTCTTGCACATCCCTTTTGCAGAAGAGATTTTGCGAGAGGGACACCGGAACTCAAAACATCTATTCCTGAAATCGTGCCTTCTGGAATAAAATGGTTCCACTCACCTGACAGAATCCTTTGGCACCTCAGCATCATGACTTAGGTGATGTCTGTGTCACTGACCTCTCGGAGTTAACTCATTCCCTCTGCCCGGGGAATCCCATCCACTGAAATTATAGCAAGATTCCCAAGCAGAATTCATAACACCCAAAATCAAACTACACTTCTCAGGATTCATTGGGAGAAGGCTTGATAGTTAGGTTGATTTATAGCTGATGGGAGGAGGCCCTAAGCCAGCTGCCCCAGCCTGCCTGCCTTCAAATGGTTTGGATTTCAGATCCCATAATCCCCAGCAAACATAGCCATGCTGGTTGGGAATTATAGGAGCTGTAGTCCCACACATCTGGAGCTCACTAGGTTTGGGACTTGAAGTTGGAGGGGGACACAGGGAAGGCTGTCCTAAGAAAAACCTTTAAGCAGCAATGTTAATTATATCCTTCCATCGTTTTCTAAAAGCAGCTATAAAGGAAGGGCTGACAAAAGTCCCCCCCCCCCCGCAGTGATCTGAGCATTTCTGAAGCTTATTTTAAAATTGCTGCACTCAGAATGCATGAAAAGATGCTTAATGAGTCTGACAGATTTCAGTAACGGGCGCCCAGCATGTTTACTCAGAAGTAAGCCCAATCCCAATTAACTATTTGAGATTGCAGGCTCAGGTGTAACAAACCAGGGTGCTGGCAGCCTGTAGGGTGAATGGGATCTGTGCTTGGGGAAAGGGTGTGGTGGGGATGGAATTCAGCTATTGATACGCAAGCGGGTTGATACAGTGAGGGAATGATTTGGGTGAGGAAAGGAGAGTATGTTGCTGTCTTTTCCCCCATAAAGAAGCTTGTATTCAGTGACGCCCCAGTATCCAAGAATTAGCTTCTGTTCTATAGTAAAAACAATCCTCCACTTTGTGATGGAAAGGGAACATTTGGGAAGCAGTGGAGCATACCCTTTTCTAGTAATATTCACATGGGCTGGAGTATTCAGGAGCATGACACTCTTAAACTGAGTAGCTTTCACATGAGCCCCTTTCTCTACAATCGTCACCTTTCGTTCAATCACTTTTTATAGAGCATCCAAACTGTTGCATTCCACAGTTTGTTGTGTTGCCTCCCATGGGGTTGGCAATCTTATTTATATTGTTTGGATAATCAGATACAGCCTGTTCAGTGTGCACAGGCAACATGCTATTTCGTTCCTTACGGGCTATTGTGCCTTTTAATTAAAAGCTTCCTGCTTGAGGATTGTGCTGGTTTTATTCCTTCCTGCGCAGTGCAGTTGGGGAATTAGTGATGACTTATTCCATAGTTAGATTCTCTCCCTTGGGGGATAAGAAGGATTTAAATCCTTTCCCTCTTTTTATTTCTAAAAATGAATTATTTCTCATAGAAGAAGACAAATTAATGAACGTATTAATTACAGTTCCCTGCAGCTGCTCTGGTAGAGAACATATACTGATTGATGCACAATTATTTACTGACCTTTTAGCAGTGTTTAAGAGGAAGAAAACAGCCCACAGGCAGAAAGCTTTCATTTAACATTGCAGGGGAACTTGGCTGAACTTTCTAGATTGATCTTGGCTTTAGTTACTCACAGGTAATGTAGCACTATGACATGGCATACTCTGGAAACACCACTTTTAATTTTCTAGTTGATTATGGAAAAATTAGTGCTCATGAGCCTTAGTGTGGAAGCAATCCAGAAGGCTGTAACCCTCCCCCTCTCAGGACCAATTCATATTTGATCCTGATGGTGTGGCTGCCAGGATAACGAACTGTCTGAACACAGAACTGCATGCTTAGGATTGTGTGTGCACATGTGTGCATGCATATCGTGAGCTTGGCCCTCCCCTTAGGCCCCAAAACACCAGGCAGTCTTACTGCAAAGCAGATCTTTCTTGGCACTTTATAGTTGCAAGACAAAATAACCGTAAATGCTCTAGTAAGCTGGAAAATAAGCCTCTGCACATGTCAAGAAAGATAGTTGAATCCAAACTAGGGACTTCTCCCCCAAACCCTTCCCTTTCAGTAACTCGGAGGGCTCTGTCCTCAGGGTGGCCAGCCACTGAGACCTACACAAGCCCTCTAACTGGGGAGCTCAGCTCTCCTGGCAGGTTGTCAGGGGGTCAGGGACACCTGCTCTCCCTCCTACCTTCTTTGGCTCCTCCTGAATCTCCCAAATATCCTTTAACTGTTAGGCGGTATTTGAATGAATGAATGAATTTCTGCTCTCTCAGTTGGCCTGGGAGCCTGTAGGTAACAACCTTGAGGGTGCGTCAAAGGCCTGTACTCTGCCTGGCTTCCGAGAACTCCCATCTCTGCTTCTTCAAGGTTCCTGCGTTCTTCCCAATCCCAATCCTGATGGCCCTGGGAAGTCTGCCAAGAGTGGCAGTTGGCTTCACTCACTGCACTGCGAGTGCAAGAGGGTGGCCACAGGATGGAGCGAGCGACTTCTCTGCGGCCAAAAGAAAACAAGCTGGTGGGCAGTGGTTGGGGCCACAGTGAGTCGTCCCCCACTGGAGTGGGTAAGTGAGGGGAAAGGGCTGTGTTGGGCCAGGGGGCAGCAGTGGAGCCTTCTGGCAGCTGCCCAGCTTTTCCGATTGTCATTGGTCTCAAGTGGCACTCAAGTTACCGTGGGGTCTGCAAAGCCCGGCCTTAAACTGAAGGCATGGGAAGGAGTCTCCCAGAGACCACTCAGCCCAGAGTGCCTCCTTAAGCTAATGGAAATGCAGGATTCTGATGACCGGGAGAGCCCAGGTGGAGTGGGGGTGACCAATGAGCAGGCCACGTGGGACTTGCGACTCGTTTCATGGGGGTGGCTGCCTTCCAGCTGGAAGGGACACCAGCAGGGCTGGGCACGCTTTCCCCACGAACCGTACCTGGATGGATTTCTCAGTGAGCCCCGTTGCTTGAGGGTTCTGCTTCTCCCAGAGGCACCTATGGAGCTTGGAAGGCTGATGTCGTGCCCCCGGGAAAGCCCATCGCCGCCACCAACTGCCAGTTCCTTCTGCAAATGAGCAGAGCTGTGGTGCTTCTCTGTGCCAGGAATGCATTTGTTGGAGGTGGTTTGAGAATCTGTTTTTAAAGGGCGGTTGGTGGATAGGACGGGTGGACAAATGTGTGCCAAAGAAGCTCAGGTTCTTAAAGCTAGGGGGAGAGGTTTTTGGTGGTGGGCAAAGGGTGACCCCTACCCGTCTCCACAAGGATGCCACAGTATAGCCGGCCT